AGACTCTCTTTGACATAGCATGGTCCCCCTCAGCCTCAGAAGTGTTAGGAAAAGAGGAGATAATGCAAAGAGGCCTGGTGTAGAGAAACTCTATCTGACGAGGAGCTTTTTGGGGAGAGGGGAGGGCAACGGGTCATTGCAAAGGAAAAACAGTGGTTGAAAAAACAAACACATTTTTCAGAATGAGCACACAGAGGATAATCAAAGAATAGTGTGGTCTGTCTTTGAGTTTCATGCAGTGTAAATCACTTACAGGGAAGCCCAGAACATACCTTTGCCATCCCAAATCAATTTCAATTTTAAAGCATCCTGTTTAAGGCTTAAATGTCCCTTTCTCCAGCTTGCTCTTGCTCTCTGAATGGGTGCATGCTTGCTAGTGCAGGTGAGTGAATATATGTACAGTGAGGTGAATATATGTATGTAATATATGTGTGAAATTGTGTCTTGCACCGCACTGACAGATGATAACCCTGACTGGACAGAGCTGTGCTAATGCACTTGTCACCCCTCTCTCTTTTTCTTTTCTCCCTAATTAACCACAACTGCTTCGATTTTAGGAGACTGAAATGGCAGTTGAGGATAGGGTTGATATGAGGATCCTGTGTGTACGTATGTGTGTGGGTGTGTGCTTGTGTGTAAGTGCAGGGTAAGCCTAGGGGTAAGCTTTTAGAGATCTGAGCAGAAGGGTGTGAGTGAGAAGGAGAGGACAGATTTGAACAGTTATCTCTCCCTGCAGACCTCCTGTCCTGCCTGCCCACAGTCTCACACACACGTACACTATTCCCATTTGTAATCATGTTTAGCATGGCTCTCTCTCTCTCACACACACACACACACAGTCCATTCTGAACTGAGTATCACATCCAGCAATAACAGAATGCCTTTGTGGACTGGTTCTTGTTGATTTGTGTTTGTTGTGCAGCAACAGCAAAATCTCCCCACTGTACCTCTTATTGCTCACCAGAAACAAGCCCTGAGCTGCAAGCAGACAGAACATTGCATGGGATTGTGGGGTTGATGCTATTTTTACAGCCAGTGTGATGAGGGATGTGCTGAAAGAAAGCTTGGCTCTCCTCCTTCTCACATACTTTAATTAGAAGGCTTGTTCTTTTTTACTGTCTCACCTGTGTCTTTGTTATAGGAATGAATACATGTCAGGGAAATACAGGTCAATGGATAAATACATAGATAAACTGACAGCATATAGTTTGCATTTGCTTTTTCTCTTGGTAGGGCAGATATGCAAAGAAAAGATGATTCAAGGCAGTTGTGTGTCTATGGGTGTATATGTGTGCATGGCTCCACAGCATAGCAGTCAGAATGGAAATCAATGCACAGAATATAGTGGCAATTAGTACTGCAGCCTGCAAGTGAACCTAGTGGAACAAACTAACCAATACATGAATAAATAAGCACAGTGAAATGGAGATGTGCAGGTATGTGTGTGCAGACTGGTTCGTAGATCTTTGACAGGCCATTGCTGTGCCAGCCAATTAGCAAAGTGCGTAAAATGAACTCATTAAAGAAACACAACATTGAACACACTCACACACACACGCACACAGTCTCAATATCAAGCCTCACTCTCTCCTATTTCAAGCATTCAATCCATAGGAAGTGAAACCCTTTTATTCTTTTCACATCACAGGTCTACTACAAAGTGTCTGGTATTGTCTGTCTGTTAGTGGTTTCTATTGTGTCTGTGTGTGTGTGCTCTTTTTGTATCTGCGTGTGTGTTGTCTGTTTGGATATGCTGTAAAAGATTGATTTAGAGTTAGCTGCTCTGAACCAACTGCCAAATGTTGCCTTACTAACCCTTTGTGTTCACAAAACAAAAGCTTTTCAAGGACCTACAAACCATTCCTTTCTATTTTTCTGTCTGTCTCCCTCTCTCCATGATTCTCTGCCTGTTGGCTTCTTGGCTTGTCTTACACTCATCTATTTCAATCAGAGTTCTCTATAGCTCTTACTCTGCTCTTTTGTTTTTATGTGGTAGATGAGTGCAAGATAAATGTGACTCTTCATTTGCTTTGCTGTGTAATAATTTTGAGTTGTGAAGGTGCTGTTTTGTTGATATCATGAGTAAGCGCTCGGTGCCTGTCTCTTACTGTAACAATCTCTGCACAATGTGATTGTGAAAAATAAGCAGGCAGTAGACTAAGGTGAAAATATTTTCTTTTACTCTTCTTGATAAGTTGGTTCATGGAACAGCGGACTAGTACTAGTCAACCAAACGAAAGGCAAAATATTGTCAGAAAACATTATGTGTGACTGGATCAATCAGTGAGTTTTATGTTATTGCGTTGAAAGGCATGTCTGTCTCTTCTGTTTCTGCACTACACATGCTCTGTGGCTCAATTTAAAACAACTTAATGTATCTAAATACAATTTATGTACATGAATGTTAATTAAGAGGGTTTACCAAGCTTCAAAGTAAGATTTCCATTATCGACGTGAGATAGGCTACATTACATTGCTGCTTCATCAGTCTGGTAAAGTGATGGCTTTCTGCCATTCAGACATAGGGCACTTTTATGGTCCTCAGGGCTTCATTCCGACAAACCCACAATAATGAACAAAATGAGTTGTGCAGCTAGTGTCATGAAAATCTCTTTACTCTCTTCACTGTTCTACTGTTATACCACAACACCTAATTTGGAACAATGCGTCTAACAGTATAGCTGTTGAATAGTTTTGTAGTATCTTTTTTGGTGTTGCACTTTGTAGATGGTCCCTGCGCAACCATCTCACAGCTGGCTGCATATACTCTAGTTCATCAAAAGGGCTGGTTTTGATGAAAATTAGGTTGTAGCTTGTCGTCTATCTACCCTACTATGGTAAAGAGGCATTGGTTGTGCTTTAAGAATGTTTCATTTTGTCAGGATTGGCGTGTATAGATGCTAAACAGAGGTTGTGGTGAACTCAATTATAAAACCAGACGAACCGAGGTAGAGAAAAGTTTTGGCTTGACCTTATCCACATTAGCCACTCGTTACTCCAATATACGTGCTTTTATCTTCCATGCCGTCAGTCCCATGATTCACCATTTTTTGATTCCCTCCACCATCTCCACTCTACCCGGACCGTATACGTACTTGGACTTTGTTATGTTCTTTTGAGACTTTTGTGTTCTTTTTACCAGCAACCGTTATGTTTTTCCCCCTAGCACCTGGGTCTGCAAACTTGAGTCCAACCTCAGTCCTCCCTCACCCTCCTAGTGAGGGGGGCTACCATAACATCATCATCAGATTCAGACTGTGAAGAACCTTCCTTTGGTCTTCAATATTTGAATCCAGTTACCTAATTGGGTCCAGTCCTTGGACTGAATATCTTGTTTATTGTTGTGTATTGGTGAGAACTAAGATATTTTAAGAAATGATTATTTATTCTTCTAGGATACAGTAATGGTTTTATGTATGCTGGGAAGTAGAAATAAAATTAAAAATGTTTTACAGTGCATTAATATTTGCCAAATTAAAAAATTGATTACTCATTAATGAAACCAATCATTAATTGCAACCCTTATGAAATTGCTTTTCCCCTTATGCATGTTTGTGTGTCAGTGTGTCGACAGTAGATGGTCTGAGTTTGATATGATTTTTCTCAGATGTGGCAGATTTGATCATGAGTTCATGTTACTGTTTGCTTGACTGCAGGCAGTGTTACTTCCCGCGTTCTGGTTGACTAGCAGTTGACTAGCAGAAGTGTAAAGGGTTCACACGCTTGCACACACACACACACACACACACACACACACACACACACACACACACACACACACAGAGGAACTGTAAGTTTATACAGAGGAGAGATATGTGTGTGGAATATGTGTGTACAAAGGCTGACAATGTGCTGAGCGAAGGTTTTGGATGATGAGGAAATTAAGCTGCTGGGTCCACATTTTTGTCACAGATTCTGGTTGGTTATGCAATCCAGTGCAGCCAGTTACACCTCTGTGAATGAGTGGCAATACAAAATGTGATCCCCTTTATTATGCTAAAAAGCAAAACAAGCGATTATTATCTTTTTTTTGAGCCCATTTTTGCAGCTAAGCCATAAATGGTTAAACACACACATACACCCACATACATGCATGCACACACACACATAAAATATTTGTGCAGCATGCACATTGAAAACAAGGAAGTGGTAGTCAAGCCAAAAAGCTAAGTACTGATTGAACAGATGGGGGATTTACCTACAAGCTGCATGCTATATTTCTGAAGAGGAGTCTTAGAATTGTGTCATTCTGAAAAGCCTGACTGCAAACCAGTAATCAAAGACCCAGAAGCGATTCCTCCCCTGCAGCAAACATTCACATATTCAACACACTTATGCAGTATAGCCTGCAGGCCACCAATGACTCCAACTGTATTTAGCACACAGCGAGACCATATCAGGGGAATACAGTAGATGATGTGTTGAAACAGCTTTCTTTAAGAGATGGAGGTCAAAAAAGAGACTGCATGGTCTGCGCGCCCTTGTGTGCTTCATCCATCCATCCACTTCATTCTGTTGAACCCTCTGCAACATGACAGTAGAAGTTGCCAGATTGGAGGGCTGCAGGGCTTGGTGTGATTCCAGTAGAGCCAGGTGGTGGGAGATTAAACTGCTTGGTGACCAGCTACCCATCTCACGCTGGCCCTGACAGATGTGGCACCGTTGGCTGACTGACCCGTGCCATGGGTGTCATAGGTACAGGTAGCAGGTCAAAGCCTGCCCTTCTGTTCCTTCTCCTGGCAGAAGAGAATCATGAGGCCATTGCCCAATGATTACAACTTGCAATAATGCCATGCTACATCAGTCCAGCCTTTCCAGACTAAAATAAGCCTTGTTGCAGTTTTATCAAGACAGGATGACACTGGACAATTTGACAAAATCCTGGGTTGAATTCAACTGTGTGTTCAGTTTTCAATGTTTTATAAATTTGACTTCCCATTATTACTATTAGTATGATTAAGATTATGGAAAGATGGCCTAATACAGTTAAGGTTAGCCTATTATAACCTATAAGAGTAAAGAAAAATGGTTACAGAAGCTTGAGAACTAAGCTGACTCTGTGCAACATTAACAAACTCGAGCACCTCTACAGCTCACTTATTTCTGTAGTAGTCTCTCTTTGTTATGGAAGCCCGTTTCTGCCAGTACAAAAACTTTTTTTTGATCTACAAAGTCATAATTATGAGATAAAAAGTCAAAATTTTGACTTACCTAAGTCATAATTATGAGATAAAAAGTCGAAAGTATCTAAGTGCATATCTATAAGATATGCACTTAGATACTTCACAATTTGGTTCTCCTGGGCATTCAGAATACTGGGGTAGATAACTCCCTTCATTATCTTTCGTGATGTTGGTTGTAGGCCTTCATATACTGCTGCAATGCCTTTCAACTCAGACCTCAGGGATACAAGTGTACTGCTCCATTGTTCAATTACAAAGGCAGGCTCTTGAATCAGATTTTGGTGGGCAAGTTCCCTCAAGATTTGCTCAATGTTATCAGCTGTTGGAATCCTACGACAGCTGTGAATGTCCATGATTTCCAACAATTCTTCTTGGTCAACACCTTCAAAATCTGAACAGCAGGATTCAAAGATCACTCGCTCTGACGCTGACACATACTTAAAAAAACTGTCCACAAGATCACTCTCCACAGAGCCAAAAACAGCTTGCTCCAGAAGTACAGGTGACAGTTTTACAGGAAGGTACCTCTCTTTTTGCCAGCCAAATTTGATTATTCGACCTATACTTTCCCACTCTTGTTTACCAAAATCATGACGTAGATATGGCACCTTAAAGCTATTTCCCATAGTGCACTGCTCATAAAAATCATTCCAGAATTCTGACAGCACATCCCGCAGAACACCTCCATCATCCACAGCCATTTCAAGTCTTCCATCTGGGAGAATCACTTTGAAGTAAATGTCATCCTCCAAGATGCTTTGCTCACAAAAAACGGTAATAAGTTCTCTAAGAATCTGACCACGATGAAGCACAACAACTTTCTTCACTCTTTCTTTCTGGGCGATTGGTTCCTGCAGCATATCCATGGAATGAGGCAAAGGTGACTCAGCAGACAATTCCCGAGAAAGAGGAAAGGTGTCTTCAAGACTGGGGTATTCCATCCCAGAGATGCTCTCTGTGTGAAAAGTTATAATGCTGCTGTCCTCTAAAGCATCCAAATTAATGACATCTTGATATTCTGGCAAACCAGATGCAACACTGGAGTCAGTTGTAGTGCAAAGAAGAGAAACACTCTCACTGCTTTCATTTGGAAATACTGCGTTGCTTCCAACATAAATGACATCTGAAGCATTTATTTCTACAGCATCAGTTTTAGGAGTGCTAGAAGTATGAGAATGGTCAGGTGTGTCATGTGTCTTTTCACTTTCTTGTGCAGCTGTGACACTGTTCAACTCCTGATCAGTGTCACTAGCAAGAACTCTCTTCTTGGTTGTTAAATAGAAACGCAAGACTGGTAACTTAGTCTTTTCATACAGTTCACCAACGGTGATACTATCTTCTAAGGTATACTGCTGATAGTCTGTTAAATCAATATCAAAATCAGTCAGGTTTCCCTCGGCATTTTTTCCACCAGGAAAAAAAAGCTGCCCAGCCTTCTCAATCAACTGCTGTTTTTTACTACCCTTTGGCACACTCTCTTTTCTGGTTCCCCCACCTTTTTTGGTTCGTACCTGCACAAATTCCCCTTCTCGGAAGTGCATCCACCCTAACTCAATTTTTCGCTGGTTCTTCTGAGCATTCCTTAATGAGGTTTGATGCTCTCTCTCAGGCACATGCTCTCGGTCCCCTTTCTGTCTGAAGACCTTGCCTCTCAGTCGCTCAAAGAGTTTTGATTTGCGAGTGCTGGGATCTTTGTCTTTCCGCCTGCAGTATCCAAACACAGCCAGTCGATCACCATAGGACGGTAGATAATGGCTTAGCTGGTCATCTGTCATGAGACGTATAACACTGGAATCAATCTACAATAAAGAAATAATGCATTTTTAAGTTCAAGTACATTAATTGACTGTTGATGTCTTATAAAAATGAATAATCTGCAGGCAGCACACCAGATATAGCAGTCTCTTCAAAACATTGGGTTTATGATGTCTATGTGATTTACCAAAATGAAAAACCTTTTCTATACAAACTACCTTATCTTGTTCCATTCGCTGTATGTCTTCTTCGGGGACATGCCGTGACCTTAAGTAGTCAGTTAGCTCATCCATCCTGTCACAGTTCAGCCAAACTCTGCAAAAAAAAAATTGTTAAATGAAATTAAATCTAAAATGTGGCATTAAAAATTATAACAACATTTATCAGTATTACAAAATATTAAATTCAAGCATTCGGGCATCTTCACAGCCAATTTCATATTATGACAAAATTATTTACATGTATTATTAATTGTAAATAGCATAATGTAACATAACATAAGCAACATTTCTGAATTTCCAAGGCTGGACAATAACATATGACGCTCATATCAAGAGCAGATAGAAACAGACAACCTATTTACTTAGCAAAACATCAGCAAGCGAGTGCCACTACTAACATTGTCTAAAAAACACAATCTGAGCCTGTAAAACGTAGGTTACTTATCTAGTACTAGCAACATTAGCACTATAGGTAAGAAGGCGCCGTTTTGTACAGCCCATGGGAATTTCTACTTGAATTTCTGCGCCAACCAGAGCGGACGCGCATCACAATCCCCGCGAATTTCCGCTGTAATATGAACAGTAGCGGTAAAGACTTTAACATAAACTACAGTAGTTTTATTCAGAGCTGACACTACTGTAGACTTTAGTATGAGCTCCAGCTAGCTAACCTGAAGAGCAGATGGGGAACTGGCTGGCGTTTTCCACAAACTTAATATTGGAAATGAACAATAAGCTACAAGCAAAATCACCATCAGAGTCAATCATTAGTATAATACTGTAGTTATGGCCACACGTACCTGCTTGGAGTTCCTTGGAGAGTTCGTGTAAGGTTAGCAGTCTTGCAGTGAGTGAGGCACTATTGCACGTAGCAGTCAAGTACT